GGCAAACAAACACAAAAAGCCAACAAGGACTAAATTCATTTTAGAAAAAACAAAGTACAATATAGACTGGAGTACAAAGCAACTAGAAAATTTCAGCCAACAAGGTTGCTAAATGGTAAAACGACAAGAGGCTGGGCAAACATTCTTAAATACCTACAAGCAGAGCATAAAAACACAAAGGTGTAAGCAGGGCACAGAAGCGGGGAGACACAAAGCAGTGGCACATGAGGCAAAGTGCTGAAAAAGAAGAAGCTTGGAGAGAATCACCCAGAATATATTAAGCTAGACAAATGCACAAGACACAGGATTAGAGCTATTGCTCACATCCAAAAAGGTACAGAGAGAGCCATCTCAGATCTCAGCCATAGGTTACCGTAGAAAAAGAAAGATTTTTACCAATGTCCCCAGGTCAGAAGAATTCTTTAAATGTAGTGCATGCTGTGAATACTGCCTGTCACTGGGAATTTTGTCAGCTAGTATTAGGCATAAACCTTTTTTTCCACAAGACAGACAAAGATGCAGAAAAAAGCAAGAAGTGGTGCACTGGCAGAAAACCAAAGTTTTGATAGTTTGGGTATTCTAACACACAGTTTTATGGATCTGCAAGAGTGAAATCCACAAATTTCAACCCAAACAAATCCTTGCTGATGCAGAATGTTTATTAGCTGAAAATGTAATATTCATTGACCAGGCACACAGTCAGCCAAAGCTAAACTTCTACTAAAAGGGTTTTAGAGCTCAGCTAATTAAAGGATGCACATATGTAGGTTTAAGAAAGCTGCCCCCTTAAAAATGGGAAGAACACAGAAAATTATAAATGATTAAAAACACCAAAAAATTAAACCTTTCTACTATATATTTGCATAGAAGCAAAGTTCAAGATCATCCCGTGAAAATCTTGTTCTTACCATGCATGTAAAGAAAAGCATCAAAGATCTTCACCAGCTTCATGAAAATGACATCCATACAGCTTCTTTGGTATCCTGAATTAAGAAGCTTCTGGCAAACCTTAATGACTCTCACAATTTCTTCTGGCGCAACCCATGAAAGCTGTGGTTTTATATCTGCATGATGAGAGCTCTCATGAAGCCCCAAGGCCTTCTGAGTTCCACTGCAATTACAGTTAAAACATTAAAAGTGGTGGGAATAAGAATGCGACAGTAAATACAAAAAAACCAGAGCATATTGTTCTTTGAGTTCCTCCATATGATAAAAAAGGTTAAAGCAGTTGTAAGGCTAGGTTCACACTTGAGCGGGTTTGCGGCCCTCGTCTACGCGGGCACAGCAGCCCATTTACTTGAATGGGTTGCTGTGCCTGCGTTTCCCACACAAAAAAAAAAAAAAAAAAAAAAAAAAAGGTGCATGCACCATTTTCAAAACGCAGCTGCAGGGACATCACCTGGTGCTTTTGCACTGCAGATTGGCCGCGAACCTCCTCTTCTGGGGTCCCCTGTTGGCGCTCCATGTGGCACACAGAGCTTCACTCAGCTCTGCCCCCCATTCTCTGCTCACAGGATTTGGTTGACAGCAGCAGGAGCCTGTGAGAAGAGGGGGAGAGAAAAGCAGCTCTGCTGCAGACGGGCACAGTACTGGATTGAGAGATGGCTCAGGTAAGTATTTAAGGGGGGGTATGAGTTTTTTTTTTATTTAGCATATTTGCCGATAGGAAAATTTAGCCAATAAAGGTGCCGATACAGGGGGCTGTGTGTACTGTAGAAGTGGGGGGGGGGGGGCATTTAAAAGCAGGAGAGGAGCGGTGTATACAGTGAGCTACTGCTAAATGTCACGGACGGTTTTTAAAAGGAATTACCGGCTTTTTTTAAATCCTTCACTATAGCTCCAAGAAGGAGCAATCATTCACGAAAGGAAACAAGGGGTCACTGAGTAATGTCACTGGGTGACCCCACCCCTTTGTTTTCTTTAGTGGCGGGGAGAATGACAGCTCCTTCTTGGCGATATAGTGAAGGAAAATAAAAAGCCTGTAAATACATTTAAAATCCAGCATTGGCATATAGCGGCAGCCAGTGAGGGAGCCTGAATGTATACACTGCTCCCTCACTGTATACACTGCTCTTCTCCTGCCCCCTCCTTGCACACACTGCCGCCCACCCCCTGCCCCCTACAAAAAGGACCTGTCACTCATATACTATCACATAGGGGACTATTGGTCCCCTATGTGATAGCAATAAAAGTTAAAATAAAAATACACATTAAAGTTAAAAAAAAAACAAAAAAAAAAAACTTGAGCCTCCCCAACCCCACATACAGATATTTCAGTTTTCGGTCACGTGAATTCTGAATTTTCAGTATCGGTTTTCGGCAACAGAATTTTCATTTCGGTGCATCACTAGTTTTTTACCTTAATGCAGAGAATGCATTAAGATAAAAAAAAGTCTGCCTTTAGAACCACTTTAATTAACAGATCACATTCAGTACAGATTTCCTTCAAATGGTCAATCCACCCAAACCTAATCTTTCAGTTTTGTTAGATGCTTGCGGACTGAATAAGATGGTGAGAACTTCATCTCTCGTGACCTCCAGGGCCCGTGTCCCTTTGATATGTTCGCTTACTTTTTAAATATATTCCATGTAATAGGGAACACTGCAGAATGTGAGACTCCTACAGGAGATATAAAACTTCAAGGCACGAAAATCAAGTCCTGGAACTAAGGTGAGGTGACATGAAAAAGACATCTATTATAATAAGCTAGTGGGTTCATGAGACCACAAGAATCCACCCAAATGAAACAGAATGGGGAGGGCTAATCCTTTAAAGCATTGAAAACCCGCTCATTAATTCAAGCTCAAACATACAGAATGGTAAATACTTAAACATTGACTTGAGCTGGGACTGCTTTATAGCAAAAACCTGAATGGACTGCAAATAATTACAAATAAATAGCTACAGTAGTGGTATCATACAGAATTAGATACAGCATGTCTCCTTGGGAAGTCCTGAAATTATTTAGATTTGTAAAAGTAATGTAAAACTGATGTAACAAAGGGATAATGTATGCAGTACATATTAATGGACATTTCTGGCAAGAAAAGCGTGTTTCAAACCATCATTAACAATCATTGCCTATCAGTTATAGAGTGCTGCAAAATAGAGCGTATCAGTACTATAGGCACTTATTTTTTATGTTTTACATAGCAATACCTGCAAAAGGTAACATCAGTTAGTGATTTAGCGGGACTTCATTTTTTGACTAGTTCCGTTCCACTTTAAGTGTCACTACAGGATTTTTCTTTTTAAGTTTTGGATAGAGTGGGGGAGAATTAGAACACTTGTTAGGTTTTACTGCTATGTCCTTGTTAGGGAAATCTCCCCTCTCTATTTGTCTTGTTTACCATTATCATCGAAAGTGAAAGTAAAAGAAAATCCCAAACTTTGGGTTGACACTTGAACAGTAAGAGGGAAATCTTCAAATGGGCACCAGTTCTGATGTCCCTGGTGACATCCCAGGATTTGCTCACGTCGGAAGGATTTCTTCTCACTTCCTGTTTTGGCTACAGGTCAGAAATGTGAAGGAAAATCTCCACAATATGACACAGATGGCAAGTAAAAAAAAACCTACAGGGGTTATAACCAGGGGCAGACTAACAACTCATGGGGCCCCCAGGCAATAGGGGATCATGAGGCCCCTGTGTCCTTGCCCAAACTCAAAAAAGCCTATGAAAAAGGTACCAGGGGCCTCTCATGGGGCCCCCTACTGACCCCAGGCCCTCGGGCAGTACCCGAGTTTCCAAATGGTCAGTCCGCCCCTGGTTATAACTCTCCCTTACTCTTTCTAAATTGTTTGCCTTTAGTGGCAATTTAAAGCTCAGTTGAACCCAATGTATTTGTTACTGTATCACAGTCAGACAGCACTAACAATAGATATGCTGCTCTGCTCTTTTAATTTACTTGCTATGTGCTTTGGCAAGGGTTAAAATACCCTGCCCGGCAGCACACAGGAGGGTGGGATCACTCCTCTGAAACTTAACACAGAGGCCTGACATGTCCACTTTCACAATGCATCAATCAAAACAGCTGCTTAGGGAGTTGCACTGGGGCTCATTTTTTCCACAGTTCTCCTTTAATATATATATGTGTTAGCTAATAATATGGAAAACAAAACAAAACTTTGATAATAGAAGTTCTTACTTGAAAGTATCAGGCACAGAAACATGAGCTGTACAAAGAGCAGCAACATGCAGCACTACCGCAATGCCTTCTAAAGAACAGACCACATTGTCTTCAGACACATCTTCTCCTTCCAATGCATGTAACAAAGACAAAAACTGTCGATTTATAGAATTCCACAATGTAGTCTTGGACTTTGCATCCACTGTACTTGTCCTGTTAGAAGCAATACAAAACCCACATGTACTACACTGTTAGAAATATAAAATGCATCGCTAACAAAGAAAGGAAGTTTGAATACTTCAAACACTTTGAATATTTCGTGAAATACCAAGCCTCTCTCAACCTTTTCAACACAGAAGAACCCCTGAAATAACTTTCCGGTCTCAGGGAACCCCTGTCAAGAATTACTATATCTACAACGCATGATACATTTGTGTGATGGTCAGTGGGAAGAATGTTCCTTACACTCGTGGTCATTCGGAAAAATTACCCCCTTACAGAGAGTTTAAAACGACCAATGGAGTTAGCCTGGTGTCCAACTTCCTAGATGCCGGACATATACCCCAGACATTGGCTGTGTACCTCAATGATTACTAAGAGAAATTACATTTACTCTCTAAGATAATAATCATCATCATCATTATAATCATCAACATAATCATCACATTCTTAGCTAGCAAAACATGGAAAACAAACCCCAAATAGAACTATAAGGTAATCACCCTGCAGACTGCGTTTGTTTCTTCCGAGGCTTAGCTGTTAAACTTAAACGTGGCCGTTTCTCCTGAACTTCATCACTGCTGCTGCCACCACATTCAGAATCTGTATTTGTGATCTGTACCTCCTGCTGCAGCTGTTCTAAAACTTCCAAGCCTTCTCTTCTCAGCACAGCATACAGTGAAGGGATCAAGTACTAGGTAAGATGGAAAAATGCATCACACAGTCTGTAAAGACTTTGTACAATCCTGACAATTTTGGTAAACAAAGCCCTCCACCACTGCAAATGTCAGCACGGGGTGGGGTTCCGCTTGAATGGCCAGGCTGCGATGCTGCTCCCACACATGCGCAGGGTAGTCATTCAATCGTGGCACACAATAGATGCCATACATGAACTCTGAGATGCGCATGAACAGCTCCATGTACATTACCCCTGACAAGCAGCGGAAGAATTTGTGAAAGAAGAGACCATTAAGGTCTCCTCTGTCATAAAAACCGTGCCTGTCACCTGCTTTTTTTTAAAATGGAGTTTAATAATATTATAACCAATGATACTGAACGCACTTTCTGACATAAAAATAACCACTAAATAAATCATCCGCATAACCTTTTAAAAAAAAAATATGAAAATCAATAATAACGATAATCAACTAGCATGAAATGTCTTAGCAGTAACACTCTGGTTAAACCTTTTAATAATTCAAATGTACTCTCTGAAAGTAGACAACAGAATTCACTTAAAGTGGAACTTCACCCAAAAAGGAAAATTCTGCTTTAAGTACTCCACCTCCCTCCTCTACCGTATTTGGCATGCCATTATTTTGGGCGGAAGGGCTGGTACCTAGTTTTGACAGGTCCTCCTCAATCCTTCCCCACAGTCTTCTCAGACACATTACGGTCGCCGAAGACTGCAGGACCACTCAAAGCACAGTGGGGCTTGAGCATGTGCAGTGGCAGCCGGTTGTGAAGCCAAAAGCAGTATAGCCAGCTGCCCACAGTTAAGATGCCGGCGCCGGTAAAGGCTATTGAAGAACTAACCAGGGTGAGGATGGTGCTGGAACCCTGGACAAGTAAGTGTCCTTCAGTAAAAATCAACAAGATTTGCAGCTGATGACATTTAATTTTTTTTCCCATAGGGAAGAACCGCTGTAAAATCAGTCAAATAATGGTGCAAAAAAATTAGATTTCAATTTACAGTCATTTTATATTTTACTGTATTTTTTTTTTATTTTTACTATACCCTGGCTCACCATATGTTTGTTCTGAGTGCCAAGAATGTCCACGAAAGCTTTACAGATGCAGCAAACCTGCTGATTCCGGACCTCCTTAGCTGATTCATAGCCCAGAGGAACAACAGATAAGAAGTAGTAAACCATATGACAAAATGCTTCTTTTAAAACATCAGACTGAACATCTTTCAGTATTCCACCATCAAACAATGCTGCAAGCTTTGCCAGTGACATGCTAAGATAGACAGGTCCTATGCTTGTGTAGGACTCAGGCTCCAATGAGAATAGCACTTTTACCAGCTTTAATATTGGAGTCTCAAAAAGCAACTGTTCTTCCAAATCCATATCTTTTACACATGCCAACAATCCAAAAAACACAGTGAAGAAAAAATGTGCAGGCTGTTCAGGTGGCCCTCCAAGAGTGATAAGCTCTCTTAGGAAATTCAGTGCCAGACTCTTAAGCTCCGTACCACCATAGTCCAGCAAAGAGCATCCTATTCCCCACAGTATAAGGTTCTGCCTTTGAAAATAAAAAGCAGAGATATCATGGTCATCATTAGCCAGGACCATTAACAATGTGGTCTCCAAAGACTCCACTTGTTGCATGTGATGCAGCTGAAAAGGTGCATCTCTTAGGTTGAACTGGTTTTCCATTGAGCTGCACAAAAACCTGCACACTGTAATAGGCCAGTCCACAGACCTTTCCAGGCTTATTTCATTCAGGTTAATTAGATCTTCTAAGAGATTTAACAAATCATTGCTAAGAATGCCAAAAAGAACAGGACTTTTATTCTTGAAAAGGAAAAGTAAAGAGTAGATGACTCCAGAAATCTTTTTGTGTAAAGCTACACAGCTTGGTGTGGCAGCAATGCGGAGTAGCCTGGTGATTATCCAATTACTGAATCCTAAGAAAAAAAAAAAAAAAAGAAGCATCAAGCTTTTGAATCTATATATGAAAAAGCTTAGCAGAATTTTTGATGGACACTTTTTTTTTTTCTACTTTTGTGCTACTTGAGTTTGATACTATTTTGTGTTTCATAATTTATTTTAGGTTGCATAGGTTTTTTTTTAATATAGTTGAGTTATTTGTACTATCAATCACTTTATCATCAATTTACCTTTAAGTGTTGCATGTACCCTTTATTTGTTATTACTTTGCATATATCGATTCCTTGTAAGTCGCCACACTACTTATTAGCATGGACTTCGATAGCACTGTTCAACAGGTAAAAAGTTTTGGGCATAAAATTAGCTAATCTTACATAATTTTGGGGTGCTGAAAACGAAAATGACCCTAAAAAATGTTGATTGGCTCTAGTTTCCATGTATATTCACCCATCTAATGACGTAAGCCATTCAAAATTATGATGCAACTTCAGCTGCATATTGCGCAATTGATACTGGTGACCAATAGAAAATTGCATGTATACTGAGATGATGCAATATTAGCCTTTAATTGCATCACTTCACTGCATAAAAGCTGCAGTATCTGTAGCTGATTGTAGTTCGACAGCGTCTTTACATTTCGTTTTATGCTTATATAGGCTACTCAGTAATGCCTCAAACTTGTGTGAATAAAGCAGATAATTTCTGCTATATCTGCGGTGAAATAACTTTTATCTCACAAAAAAGGAGGATAACAGGAATGATTAAGAAAACCTACAACTTGTATTTTGGCTGCAAGATAGGAGACCAGGACAAGAGCTGGGCACCACATATATGCTGCAATTCTTGTGGGACGGCACTGGAGCAATGGTTGAATGGAAAAAAGGCATCTATGCCTTTCGCTGTGCCAATGATTTGGAGAGAGCCAACAGATCATGTTAGTAATTGTTACTTTTGTATGGTGCCTCCAATTGTAAAAGGGCTAAATAAGAAGAAAAAGTTATCTGTGCACTATCCAAATATTCCATCGGCAATACGTCCAGTTCCTCATGGAGAGGGGCTACCAATTCCTAAAGCACCAGAATCCTTCGTGGTTGAGTCAAGTGAGGAAGAACCTGAAGCGTGTAGTCACGTGCAGTTGTAAGAGATAGCCCTTTCCTCGAATACAAGAGAAAAGCCAAGAGAAGCAAAACCGACACAAACTGAAGACAAAACTAGTGAGAATCCTAAGTATTAAAATGATTCAACTTAGCTTATGGCTATAATTTTTCTTGGTAATCCTATGCAATATATTATGCCATTTAGGCTTTGTTATGTAGTCAATATCACTTGCTTTATATTTGTGGAAAGACATCGATCTATATAATTATTGTGCATTATGTAGTCATTACGCCTATAGTAGAAAACTTTCCGTTTACAGAAAAAACTAGAGCCAATTGACAAATTTCATTGTTATATTTGAACTCAGAATGTGAAATTCATTAAGAAATGGATCCTTTTGTTTCCAAAACTGGCAAAAAATAAAAATTTGTTGAACAGTGTAGTTTCTTTGAGTGATTTACTAAAGCCAAATAGGTTGTTCAATTTGCAAAGAAGTCTTCCCTACAAATTAGTGAAGATCTGTTGATTCCCATTATGCAATCATGTGCAAGCAAAAAAAAAAAAAAAAAAGTGTTTTTATTTTGCTTGAAAGATATTGGATATCCTTTAAGTCAATGTTCACTGCATTCACTAAGCTGAGTGAAAATTGCCTATTTATCTATGTGTTATAAGCATGAGTTCAAGCAGTTGTCAGAGCAGTAGCTGTCAAACGTCTGGAGACCTCTAAAACCCTCAAACAGGGTAAAGCTTTCCATACATGGTGAGATCCCTCCATTCACACTAAACAGTACACTGCTGTCTAAATACAGAAATGTGATACTCAGCACCTTCACTTTTTCAGTTCAGTTTTGTTGAGCTTGGTTGTGCCAAAAGGGCCTGCATACATGCAAAACACAATTTCTAAAACAATTTGCACAGTACCTTTCAAATTCTGAGCTAACTGAATACACATGCAGAATTTAGTAAGGAAGTATAACCATCAGTTAGAATTTCTTATAGTCAGACTAGCGGCTTACCAATACAGTTGCGATCAGCTTCTTCATTTTGAGCGCTATTCATGGAACTGACAAACATACGTGGAGATGATTTCATGATGTGTTGAATAAAGTCCAGCAACATTACAGAACTTGGCTGAGACTCAATATTTTTGGATAACTCCACAGCCACTGTAAATGCAACACCACAGTTAGTTATCTATTCCAGTCATGTTTCCTTGAGAAAAAAAATGGGATCCAATACTGAGAAACACTGCAGCCTGCAACCCATTATGAACAACAGTTGTTTACTACGAGTCTCTTGATTTAAATAAGGAAACTCTAACTCTTGACCTTTTTACAGTTATTGGCAATACGCTTTGATTTTGGCTGATATTCAAAAGGTGGAACAAAAATAACTGAAGCAACACTGCTGTTATGCTAGTCGACTGCATTCAAGTTATCACACTATTATTACTGTGCACCGAGTGTGCATCTATACTTTCTTCCTTATGGATTACTTAAAAAGTCCCACTTAAATATAATTTATCGTTTGCTAAAACTTTATGCTATTGTATTTACTTAAATGGCCCCAATAAATATTTATTCTTTGTTTAAAGTTAAGGAAACTTTTATAGAAGCATAGATGTGGATGGCCAACTACTTGTTTTGCTGCCTGAGCATGCACAGTATTCACTCCTATGGGGCAGTGGGATGGATCCCTTCTCCATGTCTCCATTAAGTGAATAGGGTTCTAATGCTCACAGAATAAGACTCCCTGCCCCACAGAAGTGAATGTGGCTGTGTTTCTGCAAATACGCTGAGCAAGGAAGGCCAGTTGCATATAGGCAGAGCAAGGGAACCTTTAAGCAAAAGCCAGAACTCAGTGGGGGAGAGTGGGTTAAATTAGCATAATGGGCTCCATTCACAAAACTGTATCTACCACTTTAAAGGATAAGTTCACCTTTGGGAACATGTTACATGTTCCACCTGTTTTTTAGGGTGGAACACATAACATGTTCCCATAGCCGCAGCCGCCACCCCCCTCCTTCTGACCCATAATGTGGTGAGAAGTCTCCCCATACTATCTGTCAAATTTGAAAACAGCACGGCCATGCAGGGCTCTGCCGACACGGCTGCATCATTCATTCACAGAATGATGCGGCCGTGAATGAATGAACTGCAAGTCCCGACAGCCTTAGTGGCTGTCGTTTTGTAGTTTATAATGAACTACCATGGTTTAAAGTTTTGTTGCATTTTAACGTGTAGATGTTAACCCTACCAGTCTCATACTTACCTGTCCCCAATTTGGTAAGATCTCTGCTGTGCAGCCTCCTTGCTGCCACACATCCACCTGCCAGAACCTTTTTCAACAGGCTTGCACTTGTGTACTCAATCTCCATTCAGCCAAACTGCAAGTTCACATACTTCATGCGGGTGATTTGCTTCAACCGCCAAAGTGGGTTAAAGTGGAAATCTAGGCAATTTCTGTTTTTCTCTCAATCCTTATTTCCATTTTTTCCCCCAAGCTCAGCTTTTTGACATCAGACACCAAAAACAGTCCTCATGTGGTAAAGGTTCCTATGGACTAAAGTGGTAACATTTTAATGAAATGCTGGCAATTCCCTCCATTTGCAGTACAACACAGCACAGACTGTGCAATGGGGACAGAGTACCAGCAGTGCCTCTCCACCCACCCACAGAGACTGCAACTTTAAAATAGGAAGCAGGAAAGTCAGATCAGGTAACCTGATTTTAGAAAACAATTTTATGGTACTCATGCCATTTTTAAAAGTGAAGACTGTTAGTCCAGCAGAAAAAATTTCTGATGCATGCACTCGCTCTTTTTTCTGGTCCCTTGAAATCTACTTGGCAAAACAGTTGTAGTGTGGTGATATCGATTATTCAAACATTTCATGTTGACAGAGGCAGAATAAATAGCAATAAAAATCTTTTTTATTTCCTTGTGCTGGCTATTCCACTAGACCATTCACAATGAATCACCATCTGTGTGCCATACTTGCACTATCAGGGTATAAGTGTATCTGCTGTTCCACACCAAAAAGGATATAAAAATAACTATTAAAATTTACAATAAAGTAGATATTACTTACCAACATGAACATCAGTAAGGATCCGGTCCACAAACTGGCACAAAATCTGCCTTGGCCTCTGAACAACAACATCATAAGATTCAGGATTTGCCCTGAAATAAAAACAGCATAATTAAAATGACTGGATTTATCAGTAGGCTTGTTTGGCCTAAGAATCTGTTTCTTTCTGTCCTACAAATCATTAACCAACTATCCTAAAACTTCATCACCGATAAAACAGATCAAATAGTGCTAAAGGGCAATTATACTTTTGATGGATAAGCTCATCTTTATGAAAAAAAATGCACATATTTTTCAGGTAAAAAACAGTACATTTATTTATTTTTACAAGGAGTCTGTGGAAAATTGCACCTGCGATCAGTGGATTGTGGATGCAATGTCAGGTTCCTGCGGACTCTTCGTATAGCATTGTGCCCATGCTGCTGTACAGGCTGACAGTTTCAGAGCTGTAGAAAGCGTGAAAGAATTACAAGCACACTGATCAGCACACTCACAGTCCAATGAAACTACATCTACAGCAGTGTAAAAAGGGACTTGTAGTTTGTTCATTCACAGATCCCTGAAAATGAATGATGTGGCTGTGTGGGCGGAGCCCTGCACTTGCGCTGATTTTAAATGTGACAGGGGGGGGGGGGGGGGGGGGGGGTAGAGAAACCATCACTTGCTGTGACATCACTTGCTGTGACAGGGAAGGGATGTAATATGTTCAAAAGGTGAACCTATCCTTTAAAATAAAAATGGCGATGGTGACTTAAAAGTGTTACTAAACCCAGGACCCCAC